TTCTTTTTCCTTTTTATATATATATATATATATATATATATATATATATATATATATATATATATATATATATATATATATATATATATATATATATATATATATATATATATATGTATATATATATATATACAGCCACGCACTAAAGTTTAATCAATATTTTTATAACTATGTTCCAGTTTTTCTAACAATAAAGTTTAACGGATATAGATTTTAAGTTGTTGTTTGTTTTTTTGCGTTTTTTTTTTTTTTGCTTTTTGTTATTTATGTATCGATAAAATACTGATGACATAAAAGTTTAATCGAGTTGATTAATTAGACTAATAGTATTTTGTCACTCGATAACTAATTATTATACTTTTGCTATAAATTATAAATATTTTGGGTACTCATAACTCTTTAAAAAAAAAAGATTTTAAACTATCAAAAAATATATATTAATTGCAAAAAATTATTGAAAAAATAACTGCAATATTTTAATTTGCTTGCAAATGGGTTGAAAAGCAGTGTTAGAGAGCATCAAATGGCATATTATGGGGCTTATCAAATCAAAGAATCACAACAATGTTGAAGTTAGTAAACTTATGGCTGTTCTGGAAGATTACTGAAGCTTAGTGACCATGACAAAAGTAGCATATTCAGAATAAGTAGAAAAAATCCTAGGCTCAGCAACAAAAAGCTAGCTCAAATATTTAATTAATCTTTTTCTAATTGAAATGTAAGCAAAAAATGATACAAAGAACATTGGGCAGTTGAAGGTTGGGCAAAAGTGATTTGGAGCGATGAGTCAAATTTTCAGGTTGTGAACTGCAAAGAAATAAATATACGTTAAAAAATTTGCAACTGGGAAATATTGTGAGCGCTATTTATAAGCAAGACCACAAGTTGTGAAGGCTCAGTAGGCATATGGGATTGTTTTTCCCACAAAGGTCTTGGTTTTTGTGAGCTGTTTAATGGCTGTATCAACCAATATACCTACAAAAACACACTTGAAACACGTTTAATTCCATCAACAAGGAAATTGAATTGTATGACAAAAACAAGCAATACATCTTCCAGCAAGACTGGGCTCCAGCACATAGTATAACAAACTGGTTTACCACAAAAAGATTAATTTGTTGCCTTGGTTCCCTAGATCACCAGATATCAACCCAATAGTAAATATTTGGCCATGGATCAACACTCAAGTAATAAGCCATCAAATTCAATCAACTGAGCATTTGAAGCAACTTCTGAATGAGTACTGGTTAAAAGTGCCACATTAATGATGCGCATAAAATTGGTTGAATCATTGCAGAAACGAGTTCTTCTTTGCTATCAAGCCAAAGGAGAAAACTTTAAATATTAAATTTTTTTAATTTGTTGTATTCCTAAACCTTAACTCAATTAAAATTATTTGCAACTCATTTTATGATTATATAATTATTTATTTATTTTTTTGAATTATTTTTTTTTAATTATCTTATAAATGTTAATCGTATAGCTAATAGATTGTTGTTTTTAAAAAAAAATAAAATAAAGTGCTATAAACAACAACAAAAAAAAGCTTAAATTTTTTACATTTGCTGACTTTAAAAAGTCAAATTTTGCCGACTATATTTAATATTACCAGATACAATTCCATATTGTGGAGTGGAGGCTGAAGGGGTGACATCACCCTATCCTCCTCCCCCTGTTTAAGATAAGTTATTTTGTTTTTTTTTTGTGGAAAGGACCGATTGAAGTAAAAAGTTTTTTAATACGTAGGGAGACTAACCTACTTAACTACTCTAGATTTAATAACCTGACAGCGCCATTATTACAACAAGTATAATAATTTTCACGAATTTGGCAAAAAACTTTTTATTATAAAATTTTGGTGGTTTTGAAATTAAGTTTCGTAACGACTTTCATTTTTTTAAAAGTTATGACCAGTTAATAACCGAAGGCAAGTTACATCACGTAGGTTTGTAAGAAAGCAATTTCTTTTGAATTCTTTTTATTTTCCTGAAGAAAAAATGAGATAGCTAAATTAAACTGAGAATTATTTATATGCTATGCTAAATTAAACTATTATATTTATATTTAAAAATATACTAGTCTTTTCAAATGCAGTTTTTGTGGTTTTTTAAATTTAATTACTTCCTGCAATTAAATTAATGCGTTTTGACATAATCTAATCTTAATTTTGTCAGCTTTACCACAAACAAGTGAAAAGCCATTTTTTATCCACAAACACAGCCATAAACTATAGGAATATATATATATATATATATATATATATATATATATATATATATATATATATATATATATATATATATATACCCATATAGTGTAGCTTTAAGAGCATTTTAATGTAAAAAAAGTCTCTTACGACTACAATTTTAATTACCTCGTCTCTTAAGTTGTTTTTGATTGTCATCGAAATGTCAAAGCAATTAATTTATGCGGAAGTACATTAAATTTAATTGTTTTTTAAAAAATTTTTAAAAAACCGCAATTATAACGACTAGAAAGTTTTTTTTAATTAGTGGTGTTTTTGTTATTGATTTAATAAAAAACATTTTTAAAACATGCGTAAATGTTGCTACATCGACTATCTTATAGCCTGACTCGCAACGGAGTGCTGCTACATCGACTGACAAATAGCCTGACTCGCAACGGAGTGCTGCTACATCGACTGACAAATAGCCTGACTCGCAACAGAGTGCTGCTACATCGACTGACAAATAGCCTGACTCGCAAGAGAATGCTGCTACATCAACTGACAAATAGCCTGACTCGCAAGGGAGTGCTGCTACAATGACTGACAAATAGCCTGACTCGCAAGAGAGTGCTGCTACATCGACTGAGGGTTTGGTTTGGCCAGGCAGTCTATCAATTAAAAAAAAAAATTTAATTTTTAAAACTTTTTCTGGTCTGGTTTATTAACGCGCTCTTTAAAACTACAGTTTATGGGAAACATTTTTTGATGCCACGCAAGAGACATGCAAGAGTATATATATATATATATATATATATATATATATATATATATATATATATATATATATATATATATATATATATATATATATATATATATATATATATATATATACAGGCCTTGCGATAAAGCGTCGGGCGATGTGAATTTTACGTCGTCCAAGGGCGATTTTGCGTGTAGCTAGGGCTATTTGCGTCGAGCAAAAAATTTTTTGTTTGAGTATATTTAAAGATATTTTTGAGCGGAATTTTAATGAAGTAATTTACGATTATTTTAACATTTATTAAAGTATTTTAAAAACCGCACGCTGTTGATATAAAAGTTTGAATTAAAGAAAAATTAAATATGCTCATTATTTACAAGTAGAAAAAATTCAGATTAAAAAAAAAGTTTAAATCTTTTTAAGCTAACATTTTAATAAAATTATTCAGCAATAGCAAAGTTGTCGATAAAAATGAACAAAAATACTTTCTTTTAGTTTTAGATTTTTAACTTAAATAATTATTTTACGGGGGTTTGTTAGGTTTTAAAATTATTCCATAGATTTAAAAATATTTATTAACTGTTAGACGTATTTAAAGTATTTAAGAATAATTTCGAGGAAATATTTTAAAATTGAAAAGCGCCAATAAAAAAAAATTAAAGGATTATTATTAAAACGTATTCTACTCGATTCAATAAGAAAGTACAGCTATTAAAAGTTTTGTAAAAAGTAACTCGATAAAAATTACTTAATAACGATTGCTTTTTTGTTAAAAGTTACCGAAACTCAACGAAGCGTGCTCAAGAACAGCTGCTGAAAAATAGTTTAATAAATTTATACAACCTGGTTTTGTTACCCGGTTTCTACCGATGTAAAGCGAATTTCCACAAACACCCTGAAAAAGGCTTAATAAACGTAAAAAATAAAATAAAAATTAATTTGCAACCTGTAATCATAAAACTTAAAATATAAAGTATATCTAAATGAGGACATATATAAAACGTGCATTAATTTTTTTTCTTAAAAAAAAAAAAATGTTATTTTACTACTACTGTTAGTGCAAGTAGATTTTATGTTATATTTTTTAGTAGAATTTCATTGTATAAAATATCTTGCATTTATATACATAAAAAAAAAACAAATCTTTGCTAGAGTCTCTTTTCTTTAAATAATTTATTTCATTACTTCAAATATTACACATATTAACAAGAATTATAAAGGATCTAGACAAGAAATTGTTTTAAGCAAATTTTTGAATCAAAACGTTAAGTTAAAAATCCACTACAGCGCATTCGGCAAATAAATTGAAAAACGCAACAATTTTTTTTAAAAACCAAGTTAGCCGTTATTTTGAAAAAAGTGTCAACCATGACTTCCACTCATAACATTTCTGTAATATCACAATGGAGGTTTTATTAGGTACGCGCACGCTGTGGAACCCATGAAATAAATTTTTATTACCTTTTTGTTTTGTAATAATATTTGGTTAATGCAACCAAAAATAATTAGAAAACAAAAATTAACCTTAAATTATCAATAACCACTTTACTAATGACTATTTATTTTTCTATATAAATAGAGACAAACTTTAAAAAATATACAATGTATAAAAAACTCTTCCTATTCTTAACAAATTCTTTAAAGTTAAAATATGGATAGCATTTTGAACAACAAAAGAGTCAGCTTGAAAACTTTTGAAAGTTGGGAGGTTTCGGATCTTTTTCACATCGAAACTATCAAAGAAAATGAGAAGACTTATGTTGTTAAAATCGTATGTAAATTGTGTGCTAAACATAGAAATACTATTTTATCAAAAACCATTGGTGCAGTGAAAGCTTCTACTTTGCGGTATATCAATGGCACAAGTTGTATTAAAAAGAATGGTGTTTCAAGACATATATCAGGAACGGCTCACCAGTATGCAACGCAATTAGAAAATAAAAGATGCAAGGAAAACAAAGGAGCAAAAAGTATAAAGGTTAAAAATGTTTTATTTAAAAAATTTGTTCCAATTTAAATACAATTGCAGTTTATATTTAATACACATTAAAGCATAAAATCTTAAAAACAAGAAATAAGTAATTTTATTTTTTAAAATAAAATGGATAAAATCACTTTTTATTATAAAATACATATACAATTAACTTCATTAACATCTATCTCTAAATTTATATTATTTCTATAAATGACCTCAGGATGATTCCAAAAAATCGTCAAAAAGTATACTTTACAACCAATTGACGTTAAAAGAAACACGCATAGAAAATTCCTATCGTAACCTGGTAAAAATTGCATATGAAATGGCGTGCCGTCCAACAATACCTCATACTCATTTTTCTGTTCTTGTAAGGTTTAAACTTGCTTTTAAATGTGTGAAATAAAATTATAAAACTTAATTTTTTGTTTTTGGCTACGTGTAATGACTTTTTTTTATTATTTTTTACTGTTCAATGAACATCTTTAAGGTGAGGTGTGCAAAAATAAGTGGCGCAAGCTTGATAAGACGCAAAGAAAATGGATCCACAGGCAGAGAAATAATTAAATGTTGTGCAGACGTCGTCCGTGAAAAATGTGCTGAAATTCTCAAGTTGTGCAACTTTTTTTCTATTCTTAGCGATGGTAGTCAGGCTAGAAAAACGGGAAAGGAAAAAGTACTAGTTTTGGTTCGAACAGGCCGCAATGAAATACCTATTTACATGGTCACGGAGTTGTTGGATATGTCCCTATTCGGTGGTAGTGATTCAAATTCATTAACTACTGGTATAAACAGTGTATTTGAATCAGACAAGTCATTATTTAGATTAAGTAAAGAACATTATACCAACAAAGTTATATGTGCAACTGCAGATGGTGCAAGCGTAAACTTTGGTGCACATATTAATGTACTGTCACAGATGCAACAAAATCGTCCCTGGTTAATTAAAATCCATTGTATTAATCATAGAATTGAATTGGCAATAAAAGATGCATTTAATGAGATACCTGATTTTGCACACATTGACGAATTTTATCTAGCTAATTACTACCTATTAAGAAACTCAGGTAAATTAAAAGCGGAAGTTGAAGCAGCATTAAAATGCCTTGATATAACGCATTACAATTTACCGAAAATAACAGGAACGCGATTTGTTGGACATAGGAGGAAGGGAGTTTTTAATATGTTAGAAACATGGCCAGCTTTTATTATGGCTTACCAAAATTATGCAAGCGAACAGACAAATAAAAACACTGTATCTAAAGTAAAAGGCTTGTTAAGGTCATTTAAGTGCCACTCGTTCCTTTATAAAGTAGGTTTATATCTTGATTGTTTGGAACTAATTATTCCTGCATCTAAAATTTTTGAAACTAATGAGCTATTACCTCATGAAATTCCCGCAACAATCAATCGTACTATATTAGAGATTGAAGACAAAATTTTATCAATTGGAAAAGACGACGAGTTTTTGGACAGTTATATAAACCGTTACATGGTCACCAACAATAGTGAAATCGAAGGTTCATTTGCTAAAGCTGGGGATAAACGAAAACATGCAGACAATCGTACATATGTTAACGTAATGCTGGAAATGAATAGTTTTGTTCAAAACGAATCAATTGAGCAAATTCGTCAAATTAAAAGAACAATTCTTTCAAAACTTTCATTGTTACTATCAAGTAGATTTAAAGACTACTCTAGAGAGCTTATACTTTACAGAAGTATGAAGTTTATTGACCCAATTCATTGGATAAAGGAAGATTCAGACTCCAGAGTGCAAGAAATAAACTATATAAGCGATCATTTTGAGACACCATTAAAAAACGCTGGTTATCAAAGAGATGTTGCTCTTAGGGAGTGGAAAAAAGTAAAGCTGCTAGTTCGAACTGAGTTTGAATGTCACCCAGTTCGTAGTTTGTGGGAAATTATTTTCAAAAAATTTATTATTGAATTTCCAAATGTATGTTGCCTGGTATCGCTAGTCATGTGCATATCTGGCTCAAACTCGCAAGTAGAAAGGACATTTAGCACTGTCACAAATATTTTAACTGATAAACGACTCTCCTTAAGTCACGAAGCGCTTGCGGATTGTGTTGTTATTCATGGAAACCATAGTCTTTGGACTAAAGAAGATTACAATGATTTAATTGAGCGTTCTCTCGCAAAGTACATGAAAAAGCGTAGAAAATGCATTATTGTCGATGATGAAAAAAATCAACTAAGCTTAGAAGACTATGATTCGCTAATCGAAACAAGAAGCGATGAAGACATTGATAGCGAAGATGATATTTTGACCGACAATCTTCGAGAACTATATATAAAATAAAAAATTTAGTATAAAAGTTTATTTATAAAATAAAATTAGTTCTCATATTTAACCACGTAATGTTTTCTTTTTTTATTTTAGCGCACTTTTTATTAAATATTGTTCAATTTGCAAATTTTTTCGCTGAAATATGTCTTTTATACCTATAACATTTTTATTCTATCATTTTGTTTTATTTTACTAGAAAAAAAATTCCTTGTAAACATTAAAAATCTATTCAAAACGTTCGTTACAGTTTTTTAGTAATACGAGTGATTGTGATTATCAACCGCTTTATGAAAATAAATAAAAATAAATAAATAAAAAATGTTATATAAAATCGCTGATAAAAATATTAGCTATTGCACAGTTTTTAATCGTACAATATTAAAACTTCCAATTTATTACTTGCTGACTTTTTAAAAAGAAAAAAATTTATTTGAAAAACTTTAAATTACATAATTGAGAAAAAAATATTGCACAGTTTTTAATCGTACAATATTAAAATTTCCAATTTATTACTTGCTGACTTTTTAAAAAGAAAAAAATTTATTTGAAAAACTTTAAATTACATAATTGAGAAAAAAAAATCAAATATTAGCATATTTTATAATCTTTTTTAAATGTTTAGTTATAATGTTTTTTATTCGTTTAGTATAGGCAAAACGCATCCAACGTCGAGAACATAAACAAATGTTTTTACATTTTAAAAAACGAAACATTCCAAAACATTTTTAAATAATAACATTTCTACATTAATGATTTTAAAGTAGTTTTGCTGTAATTAAGTAAATTGGTGCAGTTAATGTCGATAAATATGAAAAGCAAATAAAAAGAATTTAATGACGTCAAAAATCACGTCGTGCTTATGCGTCGCGCAGTCCTTATTCATCGCAAGGCCTGTATATATATATATATATATATATATAACACATCATTTAACTCTTACTTATCTGAGATATATTTGAGTTTTTTGATAAAACATTCTGTACTTGCCCTTTTGTACCATTTATTGTTATTAAATTATTGCATAAAAATTGCATCATTATTAAAAATTCAGTCAAGATTTTGCAGTATTATATTATTAATTGTAATACATTAAATCACTTATAAATTAGCATTTTCATTCATTTGATGCATATTAAATGCATTGTAATCATTAATTAAAATGCTTATATTATACATATAACTTATAACATTAAAATTCCTTTCTACTTTTTTTTTACACAAAGAAAGATTTATGTTTATAAAATACTGCATTTTGTTTTATAAATTGTTTCTGACCATCTTGCAACATTTCTGATCATCTGACCAACAAGAAACATAACAATAAAATTAACTTGAAAATAAGAGGTTAGGGGTTTAGTATATCAGGTCTGTTGTATTTATAATAAAATATTACAAACAAGTTTAGAAATACAGAATAAGATTTTATAAATATAAGATTTTATAAATACAAAGAAAATTAGTTTTAATTGTTATGATTAAGTGACATTTAAAAATATGAGAACTAGGAATGTCAGTTATTAAATTTTTAAACAACATTTATTTTAGAGTAATAAACAGGATGAAAGAACAGGCTTGGTCGGGAAGCGGGAGCAATCGCTCTCGATTGCTGACCACATAAATAATATTTAGTTGCAAAAAGCTGGCCAGATTTTTTAGTCGTTTTGAGAACATTTTAAAAAGCAAAAAAAAAAAGCGTTTAAGATTTTAATTAATTAATTGGACCGATGAGAGACAATTACAAAAAAAAAAAAAATTAGGCAAATAAAATATCTTTAAACGCAAAAAACTTAAAGCTAAATAAATTACGTTTAGAACAAATTTTTCGAAACATCGCTCTTTTATAATTTTTTTTATAAAATTAAGCGATGTTTTTTATATAAAGTAACATCTTACGATTGTTTAAAAAGGAAACAAATATTCTTCATTTAACAAAGTTTGCAAGTTTTAGTTTTATTTAAGTTAAATTATTTTATAAATAAAAAAGTTAATTTTTTTAATACCTATTTTATGTTTCGCGTAGTTTGAAAAGTTTAACATATTTGAAGCAATTCTTCTTAGTAAGATAAACAAATGAAAAAATTAAATAAAAAATTAAATTAAAAATGAAATAATTAAATCATTGAATTATTATAGAAATTAAATTAACTAAAAATAGAAAATAAATAATAAAACTAAAGGTTAAAAATACTTTATGACGAGGAAGCGAAACTGCTTCATAATATCGCTGATGATGTTTAGTGAGTGGGTTTTTTATTTTAATTAGTATTTAAAGCAGAAAAAAGTATAACGAGTTTTAAGAATGGCAACTTAAGCGAAAATAATTAGAGTTAGTAAACCAATATCTAGAAACTTTTCTTTATATCTAATTATTTGCTATATATATTTGTGTTCTGTCGTGACCTCAGGCGCGATGCATGTTCATCCGCGAGTTACTTTGTATGTGTTGTTTGTGTTTAGTAACCAGAAACTTCTTATATGTTTGTTACATAACTAGTTTTATTAACTTTCATGATTATAACTTCATTGAAAACGCAATTATTTTTGTAAGTCTTTGTTTAAATCATAAAAATTGCTTTAAAGGACACATTACGATAAAAAACAGATACACAAAATTACATTTACATAAAGAATACATACTTTTTAAATAAAAAATAAGAATATACTAATAAAATTTATAATTTAAATTTTTTTTTTCGTACATAAACTTAAATGTTCTCAAAACGACTAAAAACCTGGCTAGTTTTTCGCAACTAAATACAATTTCTGTGTTCAGTATTCAAGAGCGATCGCTCTGGCTTCCCGACCAAGCCTGAAGAAATTGCATCTTTTTATATATGGCTTGTGGTTTCTATTTGATAAATTGTATAACAAAAATATATTTTATATATATCATTTATTTTTAAAATATTTTTAGATAGATCATTTATTAGAAGAAGATTTGGAATTAGAATGGGCAGTTGAAGGTCTTCAATTATCTAACCATAATAAACAAAATGGTAACGCAAATGAAAACACTAAAACAGAAACAAAATGGTACAAATGCTTAGTTTACTTATATTTCTTGTTTTTTCGTTTTTTTATTAATTTTTAATGTTTTCTTTTATTTTGCACTTTTATTTCTTAGTTATCTTTATTTCTTTATCATAATCTTTTAATCTTTTTTATGACCTTTTTTAATAGTTGTTAGAATTTTACATAAATTCAAATACTGTATGCAGTGGCAGATATAAAAATGTACTCCCCCTAGGCATTAGGGGGTATCTAGTGTTCACTCCCACCCTCACACCTTTATATATCATAGATGAGTTCTTTTCTGAAAATTCCCAGTATTCACTTAAAACTTCTTCAAGTTTAAAAAAAAAAAAAAAAAAGTATAAATTAAGCTTGGTCGAATTCATTCGAGTTTGTCTCAATTTCGAATTTTCAAATTTGCGTTCTAAAATTTCAAAATTTGTCAAATTTGAAATTCAAATTAGTCAAATTTTGTCAAATTCAAATTTGTATTTTTCAATTTTTTTCAAAAACTTCAGTTGTTTCATCCTGAAGATGTTCTTCTTCAGATTCCTCCTTTCTTTCGTCCTCATAAAACCTTGCAGAGATATTAACCTTTTGCAAGTTTTCCCTACAGTAAACTAGCATGTTGACATTTTCAACATCAAGCTTTGTCCTTCTGTAGGTCACAATTGCAGCTCCTGAAGACTCAATTGCACCACAATTTTTGCTCCAGAAGACTTTTGCTCCACAATTTTTGCTCCACAATTTTTGCTCTAAAATTGCAGCTCCTGAAGACTCAATTGCACCACAATTGCAGCTCCAGAAGACTCGCTCAGAGCTAGCAGACGATGTCTGAAGAATATAATGAATTTATTATTGTATCAAATGTTCAAAAAAATTAAGTTAAAATAGACTGGGAAAAACTAACTAAATTTAGTTATTTGAACTTTGGAAATTGGCGTGCCCCTACCCTTTCTAAAAAATCAAATCTTAAAACAAAGCTTGTTTTATTCATAAAAAAATATATCTTCAAAATAGTTTTTTTTACCTGAATACAAAGGTATTTTCTGACACACTTGGCAATTAGAGGATACTCCCAATAATGCCTTTTCCACCACTGTAGTGCATCAACATCAGCTGGTGGAGGATCGATTAAGTTGAGGTACCTGTTCATTTCAACTGCATGGGGCTAATGGCTGCCTCAAACAGTGACCAGGTGGGCTGGCTAAACTAAGAAGACCTCATTTTAGCCCTAAAAACAAAAAAGATTATGAAAAAAAGAAACTTTTTTAAACCTGAAAATATTTGAATTTTAAATTTAAATTCCAATTACCTAATCTTAGCTTCAATGCTGTAGTCTTCTTCATTAATTTCCTCAAAGTTTCCATAATTCAAGTCATGTACTAGCTCAACTTCATTCTCCTTGATCATCAGCTCAATCATTTCTCTGTAATTTGAACTTTCATGTTGGTCAAATGTGAGTCTTTTGTAAAATGGGTGGAAAAATTGCTCCATAAGCATAGAGCTTGTTTTTGGTCCCACAAACCTGGAATCTTTTTTCCAACTTTAACAGTAGGATCTGCAGTCAAATTTACAATTATTGACATTATTTAAATTTTTATACAAACCAGGCCCCTACTTCTCTTAAAAATGGCCTAGGCAATTTTAAATTTTTGAGGCCTTTGGTGACAAATAGGTCCTAAATTTTGGAACTGCATTAAATAGGGGACAAAAACTGTCCCATTTTAATGCAGACATGTGCAAAAAAGTTCTACTTACCCCCAGAAATATGATCTGATATTCCTTAACTAAATATTCAAAACAATTCAAAAAACTGAAAAAAAAAAATAATTTAAGAAATATTTGGAATAATCGGGAATAATAAATTTTAATAATTTGGAAAGAAATCTAACTCATTCACCTGTTTAAATTCTTCTGATGTAGGGTTTTTTTCTCTCAACTTGGGATCAATTCCCTTGCTGAAGTCCGCTCTGGTCCTCTCAAGAGCTGGTCTCAATGGATCACATCATCATCAAGCTGGAATTCCAGCAGGTTTCAACAGGTGCAGTAATCTTGGCAAATTCAACTATAAGAAATATTAAAATAAATCAAACTAGGTTATACAAAACGCAACTTCAAACCATTAAGTTAATTGTCTTACACTATACAATATACGATAATATCAATGATGTTAAAGGGGAGGGGGCAACAAGGGGTGTAAAGCCCCAAGACCTGCACATTTAGGAACCCAAACCTTTTAAGCAGAGTTTTTTTTTTTTAAAGACCTCTCTAGAAACAGCTCCAGGCAAACTACAAAGGTTTTATTCCGACATTTAATAACCAAATTTGTATATAATAACTAAAGATAAATTAAATGATATATAATATAAATTATATACAGGGCTGGCTCAGACCGTATGCAAGCAATGCGGTCATGAGGGGCCTTGTGCCTAAAGGATAATATTAGATAAGGAGGTATATATCCATCTCTAACTTTCTAAAAAGGTTCTGCAGGGCCCCATTAGGCGGAATTTTTATTTTTAAGTTTTCTATAGAAGATTTAAATGTGCATAATATATGATTTTTGTGAAAAACATATTACAACATGTATTTTTGTTAAATATAATAACAAGTGACACTATTGAGTATTTGTATATTATATATTATATTTTATTTAGATATGTTTATATATTTTATATTTAAAAAACGATTATATATAAAAACACGATTTTACTTACATTAGTACTCTTCAACCCTTTTTTTTAAGTTTTCATTGAAGGCCTCACAAACTAAACTTGTGCTTACTCGAGCCGGCACTGAATATATACATAAAATAAATGTATAATCTAAACTTAAAAATGAAAATGTAAAGAAATGAATTACCAGTTTCAATGTTTGAATCATCCTTATACTGATTGTTTATCCTAACACACTCTTTCTTGATCCTCTGTTGGTCAAGGCTGCTTTTTCAAGTTCTAGGTGACAGTTTCCTGAATGTATCTAAAGCATTTTTTACTTTGGGGATGCTTGACCAAACGGTTAAGAAGAGGAAGTTTTGCTCTAACCATAGTTCTGGCGGACTTCACATGGAACTTTTAATCCAAGTATTTGACAAAGCTTTGAAATGCTGTTCTGAAAGTACTTAACAGGCAGTAATCTTGCCTTCAGCATTGTGGTTGACATTGTTGAAGGCAAGATTACTGCCTGTTAAGTATTTTATCACAGCTAAATCAAACTTCAGCTGGACAGGTGATCTTACATTGTGTTTGACAACCCTCTGAAAGTATTGGTGTTGTGGTTGCGACAAATGAAGCCCTACCACCAATTGGAGACTTCAGAAATAGTTTCATTCTGGTTTGCTTTCTGTTGGGGTAAACCATAACTAAATTAGATAATTTAATGAAATAAAATCAGTATATTAAATAATTAAATTTGATAACAATATCAACAATGAAAATAAAAAATTATTTTATTTTAAATTATAAAATTTGATGAAAATTGCTAATTATTTTAAAATCGAGTTTAGTCAAAGTAAAATTTGTGAAGTGATATCTTGCTGTGTGAAGCATCAACTTCAGTTCCGGAATCAGAGAGAGTTGAATCTGAGAGGACAGATTGGTCTTTTTTCTTTTTAGAAGTTTTCTTCTCAACTTGGTTGTATAATTTATCAAGCTTCTTATTATCATCCAGTCTTTTTTGATTCCATGCTGCCTCAAATGCTAACTACTGCTCTGGCCTGTTCTGGATGAAAAGACCTAATATGAGTTCTCAGGAAGCTAGTATTTGAGTTTGGTGTGGACAGAACCTTTCCACAAATCCTGTTTCTGCAGGTACTTTGATCTGACAAGTTACCTTAGGATTACTCGTGTCTTTTTCATTAACAGCTTGGATTTTTGCAAAATAAGACTTCAATTGGTAAGTTTTTTTACCATGTTGACTTGATTTTTAGCTTAAATTTGGTTTAAAATTCAACTCGATTTTTCAAGAAGTGGTAAAGTTATGTGTTTTTATTTATATTGTTATTATTGCTACATATACATATTCCCTATTGACAATTAAAAATGGTTTTGCTCTTTGGAGATGTAACAATGATTGCAACATTACAATTCCCTGGGATATTATTTACGCCTGAAGGAAATCGTATTTTTTTTATTTCTTTCGTGTTGATCACACGATCTTTTCATTAAATTTCGAATTTTGTAACTGTTACATTCTTTGCTTTAAAATGTTAAATTTTTTTATACCAACAAATAAAAGCATAGTTTTGCACGCAAAAATAGAATAAGCCAATAATGTTTTAGAATTTTATTATAAAGCTTAATTTTGTTGCAACTCTTGGAACTATTTTATTATTGCTTAAAAAAATGTGTCAATTATAAATTCAATTCTAATTTCCGAATTCAGTTCCAAATTTGAAAATCAAATTCGAATTTAAAATTTTTTCAAATTTATATACAATTAATCTTAATTAAAAATTAAAAATCGAATTCAAATTTAGATCTCAAATTCGACAAAATTTGAATTCAAATTTCAAAACTGTACAATGATTAAGTCAAACACAACCGTCACTATTTTTTATTAATTTAAATAAAACTGATAGATGTATATTGCCATAGGCACTCCCAATAATGTTCATATTAGCAAAACTTGCACAAATAGAGTAAAGCCTACCAATAAATCTATTATAAGTTTTAGGGACTAGATACCTAATGCAGAAGCTATGGCGCTCGCATTTATTTTGCATTATTATTAACACAATCTTCCTATATCTTTAACATCTCACATGATTGAATACACAAAGGAAATGTCTAAAGATCATCATGATATTTTTACACCTAAAATATATTTTTGAAGTAATGGTAAAAAATATTTGTCAAGAATAACAATTAGAAATCATCAGTTTACTTAAAATTCTCTTTAACAACCTTTTATTAAAATGCCTCTCTGTGATCAACCTAATGTCTTAAGGTCACAAAATTGCAGAGAGAGTACTTAAAACTTTCAACGTTTTTTCCCAATGTAGATATAAATAAAGTAGTTATTTAATCAAGAAGCTTCAGATAGATATCTTAACTATTGGTTGGCAGAAGTTTTAAAGTGTAAAAAATATATAAAGTCTAATAAAATTAACAAGGCATGTTTAAGTATATTCAGTAGTCCTCATGTTGAGCAATCATTAAGCATCATGAACACCATATTTAACAAAAAGACAACCCGTCTTGATATTTCAACATACTCTGCTATAGCTTCTCTAAAGTATCAATTAGAAACAAACAAAGCCATAGCACTAGGGTACTTTAAAAAACTAGATATATTGCATGACCTAGTTAACAAAAACATTTATGCTCATTTGCAATCTAAGCAAATGCTATATTAAAAACAATAGAATTCCATCGAAAAAACAGAAAAGTTGAAGAATGTTTTTTTTAATAAAAATTCAACTTGGAAAAAAAAAATCGTCTTACATGAGCGGTGCAAAATAGTTGAACAAATTATTGATCATGCAAAAATATGACAAATGTTTTGCAACAGAAAGTTATAAGAATAAAAAGTTATGATTAATTTCTGAACCATTGTCTGACATTTTATATTAAAAAAGTAAATAAATTATTACGCTTTGCAGGTTGTTTACAGTAAAACTTAGATATTATATTTGATTTTAGAGAATTTTAAAGTAACATAATTATTATAATTAACATAATTATTCTCTTTCGATTCTTCTGTTCATAACTAGAGCAAACTGAAACTTCAGCTTGAAATCTTTAAAAATAGTTTTTCATTTTCCAACAAGTTCCATTTTCATTTTCCAACAAGTAGTCTATTAACAAACTTTAAACTATAAACAAAACTTTTAAGATAATTTGAAAATTTATGTTTTTTAGAATAAAAGTAATAGTAATGAAATGATTGCTGTGCATTTTATCTTGCTGATTGCTAAAAGTATCAGATTTTCTAATTTTTTAGTTTGCCCTAGTAAAGCCTACTGCTTTGTTGATAATCTAAAGTAAGAAGAAATTTTTTGAATTTTCTCTTCTATGCAGAAATTAGCCGCACATTGACCAACTCTAAAGAATGGCAAGTACAAGAAATAAAAAAGCACTTATATTTGTTCCTACAATTTTGGCATTTAGGCCAAAATGTATATCTAGATGTCTGCCTAGTTATTAACATAGTTATGTGATTGTCATCTGCAATCTGTCAATTTTAATTTTTATTTATCTAAAAACTTCAATATTACTTTAAACATTTTTTCAGCTTTATTGCAAACATTTAAAAAAATTTTAAATTGTTCGATTGTTTTGCAGTTGTTGATATAAACACATCAAATTATCAACTGGTCTGTATCAGACTTTAAATATAATAAACAGTTTCTTTCATGAGTTTTTCCGTTTTTTAATTTTTAAGATAAGTTCTGCACTTTGTAACATTGATATTTGTCACAAAAAAAAAAATTTAATACATATTTTCTAAAGGTTATGTTCTTATTTCTAAAGTATTCTATTTTTAGATACTTAATTTTAGCATATTAAAAAACAAAGAAAATTTTTTTATTTTCATAATAATTTTTTGGTCACCCTTTAATTTGCTGCCCTAGGTAAGTGTAGATTGTGTCTATTTAATTTGCTAGGTAAGTGTAGATTATGTCTATTTAATTTGCTAGGTAAATGTAGATTGTGTCAATTTAATTTGCTAGGCAAGTGTAGATTGTGTCTATTTATAAATCTAGGGCTGATTTAATGTAGACTTAGCTGAAAAACAGATTTTGAAAAAGTTACCTCTTTTTAAAGAAAGATTATTGCTTTAACAATTTATTCATTCAAAAATTTGACTTTTCTTGAGAAACCAAACTAAATTTAAGTTGATCATGTTTCTCAATGACACAAATCTTCTGTTAAAGGTTTGCTTGTCTAGTTGTTGTCTGTCTTTTAAATATGTCCCCAATAAACTCTAACAAGTTTCTTGATAAAATATTTATTTCATATTTCACTTCAAAATTTAAATATTCGCTTTTTTTTTCTAGCTTATGAAAGTTTAAAAAATGCCAAACTATATTTTTATTGGTATTAATTAAAATTTTGTTATAAAATAAAAAATTTTCTTCAGGGATCAATTCGTTGAAGGGCACGCCATAATTAAAATGGGTATTATTGAAAAACGAAAGGTATTATTAATGTTCTGTTGCTTTTTTTTTTTTTTGTAGAATAATCTTTCCTCTAAAGTAATTTTTTTTTTTTGTAGAATCCTCGATACAAATATAATTTATTGAAAAATGTTACTTTATATTTTTGTATGAAAAAAGTTTATTATTTTTGTTTATATTTAGTTAAAATAAATATTTAGTATAATTTTTGTTTCACTGTTATTTCTACATTTCGTAAATTAAATTAAGTTGAATTTTTAGGGTTTGTTTGCTAAACGTCGCCAATTGTTGCTTACGGAAGGTCCTGAACTTTACTATGTTGACCCAAGTGCCATGGTGTTAAAGGGAAAAATTCCTTGGTGAGTTATTGGTTATATTGTTTATAAATTTTTGTTTAAAAATTAACATAATGGGAATCCTAATAATTGCATAACAAGATATAACAGCTAGGAAGCTATGTTAGTGCTTCAGTTTACTTTTTATAACAGTTTACCTGAAAGTTTTCTATTGTTCCTGTGCACTGCTTACAGTTTGTTTTTTTTAAAACATCATCGCTTCCAACAAGGCTGCAAGCAATCACTAATTAGATTTGAAAGTTACTGGAAGAAAAAAAGATGACGATTGTAGAGCAAGATAACAATTGACAGACGACTTAAAAGATCGCAAATTATATAAATTAGAAAAGCAAGATGAAGGAAGCAAATTCCAAAGAACTGATGTTCGAGGAAAATAACTAGACAAGTAAGAGTTTTTGGAGTACTTAGGAACAGTCACAGAAAAAAGATGAGACCTAATTGAATGACGAGTAACACGAGAATGAATTTCAGTAGATGGCACATGAGAGGCTAGCTCTTTAGAGCAGTGACCATTATAGTATTTCTAAAAAAGAGAAAGAGAAACAACATTACGATGATGTTATAATGGTTGAAGGTTGGCTGCAAGAGCAGGTTCAACTATGTTTACAATGCGTTTTTGCACCTTGTCTAAAAGGAAATGGGCATCATTAGAAGATCCGCCCCAGATATGGTAACAGTATTCCATACAAGGTCAACTGTAGCAGATGCTAATTTTGCAACGTATTTGATATATGATTTCCAAGAAAGATCGGAAGTAAGAGTCCTAGAAGATGAAGGGTAGATGACTCGTGGTAGTTTATATATTATTTACTGGTGTAATATATCCTATTGGTTACTCAATAAAGAACACTAAATACTTGCCAAGTTAATTTTTGATTTATTAACTTGTCTTTTTTTTACAAACATTGGACCAAAGCGCAGTGGATCCGATTGCCCATTTTTGTGCCAAAATTATTTTTTTTTATTAAATATTATTAAACTAGCTTTAAATAACATATCTAGAGTTTCTAAATATATTTTTTATTAAAAAAAAAAAAAATTTATTTGTATTTTAACTTAAAATACAATTAAAATTTTTTTTCTTTCAATCAAAAATTCATTGTTATGAAATATTTTTTGAACTATTTTTAACTAGACTTATATTCCTTGATAAATTTTTAAATTTGATTGTAAAATATTTTAGCGTTCAAAAAATATGAAATTATACTATGAAACTTAACATTTTTAAGTTTCTTAGTATAATTTCTCAACGTTCAAAAATTATGACCATATAAAATTTGCAACCCCTCAAAATGAGGGGGTTGCAAATTTTATATGGTCATATTTTTTGAACGCTAAAATATTTTACTATGGAAATTAAAAATTTATCGAGGAATATAAGCCTAGTTGAAAATAGTTCAAAAAATATTTTATCAGTTTGTTGCTCTCTTGTTTGGGGCAAGGAGGTGGGGGGAGGGGTAAAGTTTTAGAATTTTTTTGTTCCCAGGCTCCAATCATCGCAATTTTTTGCAAAGTATTTTTATTTGACATAAGCATAAACATATAAATGTTTGGAGTTTGCTCCATGTCTGGAAGTTAGATATCTTGAAGACAAAAAAATGCTGGCACTACCCCTGCTGTTATCTAAAAGTTATTTTTTAGACAAGGTGGTACTTTGTTGAGGCTCAAACCAATTTTAAAATATCATATATATATTTAATAAAGTTTTTAAAGTATTTTCGGACTAGAGGATTTTGGAGGTTTTTTTAATTAACTAAAGAAAGTAAAAATTTACACTCAAAAAACATACAAAAGTTCATCAACTTCAAAGTTAAGTAAAATATCTTACTTATAAGCAAAAAACTTGCAGTGAAGTTCTGTTGTTTAAAAAAAGATAAATCTATCAATATATCAAAAAAAAAAAAAGCGCTTATTTTTTTAATGAATTTTTGTTTTAAAATTTACAAATCTGAAAAAAAGTTTTATCTTCAACGGGTCGTATAAACTTTAATTTAAAAGCTGATTAGGGGTAGTGCCAGCATTTTTTTGTCTTCAAGATATCTAAAGCAAATATCATTTTATTAAAGCTTTATAAGTATGGAAAACAACTATTACCATTAAATCTACAATAAATCTAATTTTTTTTTTAATTTTGGCACACTTTGATCCACTGTGCATAGGTGAGTACAGATTGTGGAGAATGTTTCAGGTTGTTACACTTAAGAGTACAGATTGTGGAGAAAAATGTTTCAGGTTGTTACACTTAAGCAACCCTTAGAATTAGGGTCAGCATTCGGCAATTCCGACCTAACTGCTGGCCTATAAGTGTTTGATGTCAGCAAAAAATTGCCAACATCGTTTCTCTACGTTTTATGGTAACCTCATTGTGTCAATTTTTTTTTTGTCATCCTCTTGCAGTTTGAGGTCAGCAATTTATTGCCGACCTCATTTTTTCTAATTTCAAGGGTTACTTAAGAGTACAGATTATGGAGAAAAATGTTTCAGGTTGTTACACTTAAGAGTACAGATTGTGGAGAAAAATTTTTTAAGTTGCTACAATTTTTGTTAAAAATATATTTTTTTATCTTGTTTCTAGAAAGGTAGATGATGTCATTTTTCAAATGGGTCCTTATTATTAAATTTCCTATATTTTTAGTGTTTTAAAAATGATGAAAAATATTAAATGATATATAAATATTTTTTTTTCTTTTTTCAGTCTAACATAAAATCTTTTTTTTTTAAATCAAGTAATATATATTTTATAATGATGTTTTATTACAAATTTATGCATGAAATGAAAATTTTATGAAAAGATTTTTTTTTAATTTACTTTATTTTTTTTTTGTAACTTCTATCTAGCATAATCGTATCTAAGTTGTAACTTCTATCTAGCATAAACGTAGCATAAACTTAGCCATGACCTAATTTTTTTTTTCACATTTCATCAACTCATCTTGTCCCATCAATCTTAGTTCTGTTGATCCACTTTATTCCATCAATCCACCTTTAGAAATGAATTACGTTTAGAATTGCATTATTCTTTGTAATTCTATTATTATATTTAGAATAAATTATTATATAAAGAATAAATTATACAAACATTAGGAATAGAAACTTTTCAATGCAACATTTGCAACTTTTCATCTTTTCAAATATTATAGTTTTTATCACTATTATTTTTTATTCTTTTATTATAGTTTTTATCACTATTATTTTTTTCTTTTTTTTTTAATATTTTTTCAAAATTTTTCTTTTTGACCCGTTGTTTTTGACCTCAAGATCTAAACTAAAAATCCACAAAAATCTATACAACTTTGCATTCCAGCTTTTAAATCCCTTTTAAGTGTTTAGCTAATTAAAACTTTTAAAATGTTGTTCTGATATTTTGAACAAATGGTATGTGGCTGACCAGGTGACCTCCCAAAGCTGGGAGGGTAGTCGAGCCAAGGAGGCTATTTTGTTATGGTTTCAACTCTCATTGGTGTTTCAAAAGTCTCTTTGGTAGTCAAGAGACTAATAAGAATTTGTAAGTTTTTGGCGCATCATTTTTTTTTTGGTACCAAATGAAAACATGACAATTACTAAAATATTTCTAAACTTAATTCATTTTCTTATAAAAAATTTTTTTTTTCTGTAGGACTAAAGACTTAAGACCAGAGGCCAAGAACTTTAAAATATTTTTTATTCATACAGTAAGTTTTTAACTTTAAATTATTTTTTATTTTATTTTTTTATAAATTTTTTTTTATATTTTCATTTTACTTTTGTATTCCATAAAAAAAATTTTTTTTGCTGAATTGTATTCAATTCCATTTCAATTATATAATTCCATTTTAATGTCAGAAAACTAAATAACAACAGTATATACATATTCTTCAAAATCATTCATTACATTAAAATAAATATTATAACATTAAAATTATCTTTCTAATGATTATTCTTTTTTTTCTGCCATAAATCATCTACAAATTCCTTCTACAAAGTCTACAGTGATGGTTTACCATAAGAATAAATTTTTACGGTAAAAATCACTTTCCTTTTTAGATTTTTTACTAATATAAGATTGTATTCATAAAAGCATAAGATTTTATTAACAAATAAGAATGTATATAAAAATTTCACCTTTGTTTTTATCACAACTAATTTGAGCTGCAGAAGCTCTATCTATGTAACAACTAACTTAAGCTGAGTTTCGCCATTTATTACTATTAAGCTTATTTTCTGTTTTATAAGAATGATAATCTTCATATGGTGTATTTAGGTAAATTTTTGAGATTATCAAATCATTTCGTTCTAACCGCTTTATTAAAATTATTCTGGAAGACCAACACTCTTCTTTATTTCCATTAACTTCTGGGGTACCTTAAGGTTCTATCCTCGGTCTTGTTTTGTTTCATTTTTATTAATGATCTTCCTGAAAGTATTACATCTAAAGTGGCTCTATTTGTTGATAACACAACTAATATACTCCTATCTTTACAAAAATCATCCCTCTTTTGTAACTTAGAACAAGCAGCCAATTTTGAATTAGGTCTCTTCTTCGTAACAGCATGGGACATGCAATGGCTTGTGAATTTTAGCTCTAGCAAAACTCAATTTACTTCAACCAATTATCTTAATTATCTTAATACTAGTCCTCTATGTCTTCTTAGATTATCATTCTCTACAGACCTCAAACCATATCCAATCTATTGCAAAGTTAGCATATTCTATTTCATATGCTCTTTGTTGTGCTTACTATTCCTTTATTTCTAATGTCTTTACCTACCCATTACGTTCTCTACCTACAAATCTTTTATTCTTCCTTATATGGAATGCTGTGGTATATTCATGTTTAGGCTGCTTCTTCTGAAGATACTTTTTCTCTTCTTGAAGTTCAAAGCGTATTGTAAATGTAGTTGGGTCACGGTTTTTAAGGTCCTCTGTTAACTATTTTCTTTTTCTATAAAATAGTTTTTATTTTCTGGTAATTACCATCTTAATAAGTGTTTGCTTGCAGTCTTGTTAGGATTAAATTGGTTTTCAATGTATATTTTAATTTGATTATGAGAATAGTTGAAAAGTCAATTATTAAATTTAGAAATTAAAAAGTTCCATGTTTTGAAATAAAATTCATAGTTCATGGTTTGAAATTTAATTTTTTAGTTCCATGGTTTGAAATTAAATTAATAAGTTCCATGGTTTGAAATAAAATTTATTAGTTTCATGGATTGAAATTAAATTTAGTAGTTCCATGGTTTGAAATTAAATCTATTAGTTTCGTAGTTTGAAATTAAATCTATTAGTTTCGTGGTTTGAAATGAAATTAAGTAGTTTCAAACTTTTTTCTTAAATTAGCTTTCAAGTCTTTTCCTAATTTTCTCAATCCTTCCCCGTCTTCTTTACAATAGTTATAAATAGAAAAATTAAACCAACAAATACTTTTGGCTTTGAGCATGTCATATTAACTGTTGCAATTAAAGTTAAATAAGTTCTAAAAATTATTATTAAAGATTGCATCCCAATCTAACTTCTTTTTGTGTTTTTAATTAATTTAGCCGCGTCGAACATATTACTTAGAAGACCCTGAAAGTAATGCCATGGCTTGGGTAAAAGAAATCGAAAAAGTTCACGAACGTTACTTTACTTCAATAAATAATTCTAGCTTTATGGTATGATTCGCTTTTAATGCTTTATAGTTTAACTCCAATATCAATTAGCAAAGCTCCTCCGTAAATATATCAAACAAAATCAGAACGTTTACCATGCACGTGATGTGTTACTTTAAATAAGGTTGATAATTTTTTTTCAATCTCGGTTATTTAGTTTACGTTTATTTATAGAGAGAAATATTTAAGGATAAATTACTTTTTTAACATGGGTTGAAAATTAAAAAACTTAGTTAAAATTATATGGAAAATACAAATAAAAAAAAATGCTTGTGTGTAAAACCAAATTTAAAAAAATAGTAACTTTAATTCTTCCAATCCAGATGTGTAACGGATATTGCACATATAGGACCGGATTAAAGAAACAGGTCAAGTATTTCCTTGAAATTCCGGTCTTTAGATGTCTCTAAGTTTGCTCGGGTTTTAGGACTAATGGCATTAGACTACAAGTTTTCGCAAGTGTAACCTTGATCTGAAAACTTTAGTTCGGTCCTTTAAATATAAGACTTTTTTTTATAAAAACTAGATTTTTGTTTTTACGTTTACGTTTATTATTGGATAGACAAAAATTTAGGATTATTTACTTGTTTAATTAGTATTAAAAAACGTATTCTAACAGGATAATAGTAAATCGTTTTTTGTTTTTTTTAATAGTATATCGGTTTTTATTTTTTTAAGAACAGAAAAAAAAAATTATTCTTAAAATTATTTTTTTTTTTTTAAATTTCTTTACGAAACGACCGATTCAAATAAGTAAGTTTTTTTTTTTCTAGTGATTCTCGTTTAAAATATGCAATTAATACTCTTTTTATTGTATTATAATTATCTATAATTTAATAGTGTTTATTTCAGATTTTTTGTTTCATTATTATGATTTCGGAATAGGTCATATCATTTATCATAAATACATTTTTTTATTATTATTATTATTTGCTAAAATATTTTTATTTCATTTTAATATCTGCCTTTACCATTATATGAGCTGGTGAGAATCAGCATTATATTAGCTGGTGAGAATTAGCATAGTGTTCAAAATAAGTCAAAATAAAAGTTGAGACTATCAACGATTTCTAAGCATCATTCTGTTAAATTTGAGACTTTATATAAAGTTTATATAAAGTAACTGGCGACTGATTTTTTTCTTTTAGTTTTGTGGGATTTTCTAGTACATCTAATAAATATGAAACGTTGACTTACACCATTCTGTTTCTCATCGGCTCATATGAAATAATTTTTAAAAAATCTAATTTCTTTTGCTTCAAATTTTTTCAAAAATAATTTTTTTTTTTTTTTTTTTTTTTTTGCTTTAATAAAAATTATCTTAATTTGATTTTTGATTTTATATTACGTCGGTTATAATATTGATTTTGGATTTATCTAAATCGTGGATTCAGCATGCACAATTTTAAATATATATTTACGCTATTTTTTTCTTTATAGCTATTGTTATTATTTATTTATCATAGTTCAATTAGAAAATAATGTTTATAAATAATTGAAATGTTATTATTTTTTATGGATTGTTACATACTTAATAATTTTTTTTAAAGTAGATGTAGAGATGAGTAACAAGCGACTTTTTTTTCATTGTTACGGCTTTTTACTATGTTTAGTTAACTTTGTAATAACTAAATTTATGTCAAAAGTTAGAGTTTTGTAAACTATTTATTGCGAACAAAATTATTCAGGGTTTTTTGTTGATTTGATTTAAAGTAATTATTTTAAGTGTTTATTTTAGGTATTTATATATATAAAGTAATTATTTTATGAGTATATATATATATATATATATATATATATATATATATATATATATATATATATATTTATAGCCAGACTAAATATATTTTACCGTCGAGTTTTTTGTGGCGTATATAAAACAAAGCTCTTTAGAAGTTCATCAGAAACACATAGCACGCGCTTTAAAAAATCGTTTTTTCACATGAAACAATTTGTTAAAGCAGAGTCATAGTATTTAATTAGTCTGGAAACGCGGGCCGTTTTCTATAGATTTCGTAAAATAACTTGAACTTTGTGACCGGACTAAGAGTGCATCAAATGTTTTTCACCTTAATAGGTTTAAAAATTATTAAATCTAGATAGCAGAAAAACTTGCTTCACATAAATGGTACTCCGCTATAAGTTTAATTTAAAACTTTAAAATCAAGTATAAATATTTCAAGTATTTTAAGAAGTCATTACAGCTTAGTTTCTAGTAAAAATGTAACTTTCATTTGATAGAAATGCTGAAATTTTTTACCGCTGATTCTACAAAATATTTTCTAGAAAAACAATTTCTTTTTAAAACTTAGCCAAAATTGTACTTTTCTTTCATGTTTTAAAGTAGCTAATCTTGCCTTTGTTAATCTGACTGGTACTATTTTATCAATGATATTATAACGTTTAAATGTGTATCCCACTTCATTACTAAACAAAACATTCTATTATGACTTATTGAAAATGTTTCTAGTACCTCTAATTTTACAATTGGTTTTAGTCCTAACATGTCTAAGTTGTATGTTGAGCAGTATCGTATTTGCTTGCTGCTTAATATGCATGATCTAACACTTTATATACAAGTTCGTAGATTTACAACTTCATAAACATTGCAAAAGATAACCTAAAAGCTTTCAAGATTTAAAAAACTCAAACTAAATTGATATATAAAGAACATCAATTAAAAAGCACCCTCTATTTTGGAACAAGAACAATAAAGAGAAAGTGAGATGACTTGAATCTACTAAAATGGCAATTTTCATAGCCACAAATATATTTTAAATATTATTGATATATAATTAACTCCTGAGTAGTAAAATAAATACTTTATGTATATTAAATAGTTTTATGGTGGAGTAACTTTATAATAAAATAACAAAACTAGATTGACCCCGACGGGCATTTGTTTTTAAAAGTTACGTTCTAAATGTGTTTTAAACGTCTTTTAAACATTAATGTTTAAAAGACATTTAAAATACATTTAGATCGTAACTTTTAAAAACAAATGCCCGTCGGGACTAATAATAATAATATAATTGTCTTTTTAATTTTAAATTAATAATGAAAACACTACTATTTTACATATATTTTACAAATATAAAAGATATTCGTGTTTTTTTTTTTGGCATGACTTAATATTATATTACTACCACTTAATATTACCCATGTAGCTAAATACATTACATTTCCAGCTACTAAAAAAAAAAAAATTATTTTTGTTATTATTGAAGGCAAAATCATTAAAAGATGGGTTATCCTTGCAAGCACTAAATGATTGTTAGTGTCAAAAATAATTTTCAAATAAGCTATTCCATAATGTAATAAAATTTTTAATACAGAAAAATTTTATTGCTTAGGCAGCTTAACACTTTTTAATAAACATTTTGTCAACTTTATATGCTCAAACGTTTAGGTAAAATACAAAAGCCACATTCTCTGTCTTCATAGAATAAATAAGTAAAATGGTTCCTCAGTATAAACTTACCATTCTTACATATATATTTTTTTCCATATGTTTTAAGTTGGATTAATCATGTTTAAATAACAAGTTGTCTTATTTTAATGTGGTGGATTAGGTACAAAGGAATCATTTAAAATGCCTTTTTAACAACTTGCGATTTGCAGAAACATCATCACAAGTTACAAGCAACAACTTTTGAGAAATTTAGTTTACAAATTTTGATTGCTTTCAAAAGCAAAAGTAATGTTTGTCATGCAGCGGTGCCAGTTGTAAAAGTCAGCTAGATTAGTCAAGTATATCATCATACACTGCAGCTGACTTTGAAATAAGATAATTAACAAGAAATATCTTATTTTAGTTGAAGATAACTTTAGATTTTGAGATATTATTTTTCTGCATTCAAAAAAATAGATAATAAATCATAGCTTAAACTTAGAAACAAGATTTAAAATAAAATTCTGTAACTTAATTTAATATATTGTGATTTTTAAATAGAATTTTGTAATCTTCTTTTAATACATTGTACTTTTTTTTAATTAAATTAAATTTGATTTATGTATGTTGGTGATGCAATATTTGGTAGCAGACATTTGCATCATATTTATTGCATCAAGTAAATATTTTTTATTTGCTCTTATATAAATTGCAATACAGGATAATAAAAACAAAAATTTATACACAAGCTTTTGAATTTTAGTTTAAGAAGCTTTGATTAGCTATTTTTTATTTGACTAGTTATTTTTAAAGTATTTATTGAAATCCTTTTTTTTTTTTTACTGAATAAATTTTTCCCTTATTAATAAAAACAGAAAAACATTTTTGCACAACATTTGTTGTTAGTATTGCACTTGTAAAAAAGGTAGAAGTTCTACCGTAGACTAGAATATGTGATATGTCCTTTGCAAGGTAAAATTTTCTAAAAAACTATATCTCTAAAGGTAGAAAATTATACAACAAATCATTATTTTTATTAGGTAGAAAATTATGCTGTATTAAGGATATACCACATATCCTACCCTAGATAGAAATTTTTAATTTTTCAGAGTGTTTTCCTGTAATAAGTGCTTTTAAACCATCTAAAATGATAAAATTGTACCTGATTTATATAAAGTTTACTTAGTTGGGTTAGTTGATAATTTATATATCACTCTTTACATTATGTTGGTATGTTTTCTGGAAACAAGAAAAAAAATTTTCCAGAAAAAATAACCGAACTTTGATTTTTCTACCAAACTGACTTTTTATTCAAACATAAACTTAAAAAAATTAAATTTTTTTAAATTGCAAATTTCTTTATTTATTTTTAATCCTTTTTTTGTATATTGTTTCGATTAACAATGCATCTTAGTTCTTTAAATTTTATGTATAAAAGTGTATTACTTCATTATATTTTAATTTTATCAAAAATTTGACCATATATTGTAAAGATCCTCGTGATCTTCTACACCTTTTCAAGATGTAAATGAGAACATGAAAGTTGTAATTAAGAAGTCGTAATATGCAATTAAGAAACACAACATGTAATTGAGAAAACGTTATATGTAATTGAGAAACACAACATGTAAATAAGAAGTCGTAACATGTAATTAAGAAACACAACATGTAATTGAGAAAACGTAAGATATAATTGAGAAATCATAATATGTAATTGAGAAATCGTAACTTGTAATTGAGAACACATAAATTAAAATAGCAAATTCACAGTCTAAGTTTGTAGGTTGTTACAAAAGGTCTTTTTGGACATGAATTTAAGTTATAATCTTAAATTTTGCTTTTGTATGCACAAGTAATAATAATGGATTTGAAAGATCGTTGTGTTATATGCCAATACACTATGACCCGAAAGTTTGTGATTAAGCTAAATCCGTGTCAACATTTATGTCACCAAATTTGTTTACGTCCAGTTCTGGAACAACCAGATTCAAGTTGTCCGATTTGTCGGCATGAAATACACACAACTGAACAAGTTGAAAGGAAACGTTACGTTTTATTTTCTTTTAGTTGTTGAATGTGCGGAGCGATTTGAAGATTGGGTGAATCTCGCGCAAACGCTAGGTTTCAAATATAAGACAGCATACAATTGGGTTCGCAGCGGAAATTCAAATTTCATTGGAAAAGGAGGTTTTAAACCGAAAAAGTTGACCGAAGATCAAATCGAAGAAACATTAACATGGATTGAAAATGATTGTCAATTAACATTGGTGGCCATCAAAACAAAGATATTAAGACAATCTAACATAAACGTTAGCACAACAACAATAGCAAATTACCTCGAAGGCAGATTGTTCTCATTAAAAAAAGTGCACAAGGAGCCTTCTACAATGAACAGTTATGAAAACAAACAAAAAAGAGCTGAATATGTTAGAAACATCAACGAACATATCACAAATGGTCGTCAGATAGTTTGGTTGGATGAAACAAATTTTAACCTTTTTTGTAGAAAAACGCAAGGACGCGCGAGACAAGGAAAAAGAGCAATTATGAAAGTACCTGCTTCAAAAGTTTTAAACATACACTTGATCGCAGCTATTTCAACTACAAATGTCGTCATGATAGAAACTCGCAGGGGATCATTTAAAGCAGATTCCTGTAACGAGTGGATGTTGGCTATGTTTCACCAGTGGGTTACATCCGGGAATCGTTTGGAGGATTTGGTCGTCGTAACAGATAATGCTCCTTGTCACGCTCGTTTGCAAAGGGTGTTTGATAATTCACCAGCTCAGTTGTTACGTTTGGGACCTTACAGTCCAATGTTGAACCCGGTGGAAACGATCTGGTCCAAAATTAAAAGTAACGTTAAAAATGCAATTCGCATTCCACCTGTATTAGGTGACGGGATTGCGGAACAGCGCATGCAGTACTTAGAACGAATTGTAATTGAGGCGAAAAATACTATAATGGGAGGAGATTGTGCACGTGCGGTACAACACACAACCACGCACTATGCAACTATTTTAAATATGGAAGACGTACAAGTTGGTGCTTAAATGATCAATGAAGTGATTTTTAATTATATAATTTTTAATTATAATTTTAAATTGAATTATAAATTTTTCCCTAAAATGTTTTTAGTGTTTATTATGTTAAATTCATTTGCCCAAAAATTATAAATTTTTCCCTAAATTTTTCCCTAAAAAATAAATTTACGCTACAAATCTTGCGTCATTTTTAAGTGCGTCATTTTATACGCTCCATTTTTTTACGCGCCATTTTTTTTAAGCGCCATTTTACACTTACTCCTTTAAAGCGATATCTAAATTAAAATTTTCGTGTTCTCAATTACATCTTTCTATTTCTTAATTACAACTTACATTTTCTCAATTACATGTTACGATTCTTAATTACAATTTTCGTTTTCTAAATTACATCTTATGTTTCTTAATTACAACTTACGTTTTCTCAATTACATCTTACGTTTCTTAATTACAACTTTTGTTTTCTCAATTACAACTTACGATTCTTAATTACAATTTTTGTTTTCTCAATTACATCTTGAAAAGGTGTGGAAGTCCTGCCGTTGTTAATATAAAAAATTAAAAAGTATATCTGGTTATTGTAAGTATTTTTAAACGGTAAAATGTATATTTATTTTGTTCTTTATTGCAAAATTAAATAAGGAAGTACTTAATTCAAATAAAGTGGAAACTGAAACTTTTTAGTCTTTTTAGTTTTGTGTAATAAACAGTTTAGTGCGATGATTACAATTGATTTGATGCACTTCGCCGGCCACGGCGAGTTGAAAATATTGAAGAAAGTTCTAAATACAGTCGACTCTCGATATCTCGAACACTAAGGGAACCGGGAAAAAAGTTCGAAATATCGAGTGTTCGAGATATCAAGAAAAGGGTTGAAAATAAATAAAATTGCCCGACTTTCATTAAAACAAGTTATTTTTCTGACAAAAATCATTAACAACAAAAACTACAACTTTTGGAAAAAGTCTGTCCTATCTGATATTGCTTTAAATTATCCATCTTTTCAATCTTCATTAAATCCTCAAGTTTTAGTGCTAGGGATTGTATTTCATTTCCGTATTTTGAGCTGTATAGCGAAGCATTTTGAATCGTTCAATAAAAACTTTTACTCAGTATTTGTTATAGAAGATCCAACAAATTTTCCTAATATTGCATTAAAAACAAGCAAGACTTTAGAATTAGATATAGACTCAATAATAACTCATGACATCGTTAGAATTAAACTAAGTGAACTAAATGTCAATAAAGCATTAGGAGCAGATGGTGTAAGTTCATATGTGTTAAAAAAATGTCAAAATAGTTTTTGCAAACCAAACAAGAAGAACAAATTCCACTCATATAGAAAATGGCTAATGTAACACCACTACACAAGAATGGAGATAAAAATGATCCTGCAAACTATAGACCAATTTCATTAACGTCAATACCATGCAAAATTCTAGAGTCAATCTTAGGTAACAAAATAATAGATTACATGTTAACAAACAATTTATTAAATAGTAACCAACATGGTTTTCAAAAGAACAAAAGCTGTACTACTAATCTACTAGAAACACAAGATATTTTACTTGATGCGATTGAGAATGGCTGGTGTGTTGATGTGTTGTATACAGATTTCTCAAAAGCTTTTGATAAAGTACCTCATATGCGATTGATGTCAAAGTTAATATCATATGGTATAGTTGGAGTAATTCTAAATTGGATAGAAGTCTATTTACATAATAGAAAGCAACGAGTAATTTTAGGGGATTGTGTATCAAAATGGCTAACAGTTGAGAGTGGAGTTCCACAAGGTTCTGTCCTTGGGCCTCTTCTGTTTCTTATTTTTATAAACGATCTGCCAGACACATTAAAAAATAATATTAAATTGTATGCAGATGATAGCAAAATTATAAATATTTTTAAATCAGATGAAGATATTCGTATAAACAAATTACAACTAGATATTGATAATATTATGAAATGGTCGTCACTATGGTTAATGAAATTTAACTATGAAAAGTGTAAAATTATGCACATTGGTTTTAAAAATCCTTGTATAACTTATTCAATGTTCGACGCTGAAACTCAACATAATAATATATTAGCAGCATCAAAAGTAGAACGTGATTTAGGAGTAATGATGCAATCTAATTTAAAATGGACCAGTCATATTGATAAAGCTGTTGGTAAATCAAATCAAATGCTTGCTCTTATTAAACGAACTTTTAAATATTTCGACTCAAATATGACAAAAAAATTATATACAACTTTTGTAAGACCGCATCTTGAGTTTGCAATCCAAGCATGGTGCCCTTATCTGAAGCAAGACACCTTAAAGTTAAAAAAAGTACAGAGAAGGGCAACAAAACTCGTACCAGCTTTTAAAAAAATGCCATATGAAAAAAGATTACAGTTAATGAAATTAACAACTCTAGAAGAACGCCGTTTAAGAGGAGATCTTATTTTTCAATTTAATAATTTTTAATAAATAATTTTTGATTAATCAAAAATTATTTATTAAATACTAAATAATATCTATATACAAATAACAAACATAGGTAATTTTTCTTCCGTTGTACTCCCTGCTGCTATGCCTGTTAGTCTGTCTTTACTATTTTTTCCCCCAAAACATTTTTCTCGTGATAAATGGTATGTTTTGTTTGGTAGGCACTGGTTAAATAGTCCAAACTCATCGGCATTGAAAATGTTTTCAAGTTTGTAATTCAAAAGTAATGTTGGAAGTGTAGTTTCATTCCACGAAGAAGTCATATTATTCGTCACGGCGGTCTTTCGCCTGAGATTATTTTAAAGCTGATGCCGTTCCTAAAAATAAGAACAGAATAATTGAATTTTAATTACACGTTTAAAAAACTAAATAAATTAAATATAAACACATACATGTTATTTGTTTATGTTAAAATTGAACAAGATTTGACAAAATTTAACTGACCTTTCTTTCCCATTATGAAACCAACAATCAGATGCTTTAAAATCCAACTCTCCTAATGCTTCTGCGAATTTTAGTGCCTTTTCTTTTAGCATGGTACCATCAATTGGTACTTGTTGACTTCTTTTTGCAACGAACCACGTGTATATGACCTTGTCTACATTTTTGAAATTACCACTACGAAGTTTCTTCCGTTTAGATTTTGTTCCATTTTTTTTTCAGTGAGGTTAATAACTTGGTTTTATTTTTAATCCAGGTTGATTATGTGTTCTTTGGGACTCCATACTTTTTGGCAACCTCTTTGTTAGACATCCCTTTCTCTAGGTCTTTTAATGCCTTGCATTTTTCTATTATAGATTTGTTGGTGAGTTTTTGTTTAACGAACGGCATGTTGTTGCGTTTAACAAAAATAATAAATTAATTAAAGGAAAACTTTTCAGAAATTCGATTCTTAAAAAAAATAGAATTTAAAAATCGAATTAAAAATTTTTTTTTTTCGAAAGTTGGAATTTAAAAAAAATTAAATTTTATTAAAACATTTTTGAAAAAAAAAATGTTGAAAAGTTCAAGATAACGAGAGAAAATTGCCCTGTGGACCGAAAATATTGTTTGAAATACCAAAAAGTTCGAGATATTAAGGTTCGAGATATCGAGAGGATTTTAGCCTAAACTAGTACGTTATGCCCATGGGACCGCTAAAAAAGTTCGAGATACTCAAAGTTCGAGTCGACTGTAGAATGCAAATCAATTAATAATGTTAGTAAAGATACCGAAGACATAATTAATTCTAAAAGATTGAGGGGGTTTTGCATCAACCATATTCTCACCAGATTATTTTTTGTAATTTATATTATTAAGTTTTATGTAATTGATATTATAACAGAATAAAAAAAAGTAAATAATAATAAAAAATGAATTCGAAAAATAAAAGTTATTTTGAAAATGCTTTTAAATTTTTTCAAATTAATGATTTAATATTTCTGAATCGGATGAAGAATCCGATCCAGAAATAAATTATTTTAACGAAATTAATTTGCCTGAGTTAGTATGCTCTTATTTTCAACTAAATGAAGTTAGTAACTTTAAAGGAGTAGATAATAAAAGTGATTATTTTAATGTCATTCACGTGAATATTAGAAGTTTAAAAAAGAATTTTGAAATTTTTTGAAATTTAATTGACGAAACTAACAATTGTTTTAACGTAATTTGCGTAACCGAAACTTAGTATTTTAAAATAGATTTTGAATCAAATTCTAATCTCGTTCTCCCAGGTTTTAAAGAATTTTTTTTAGAATGAAAGAATATTAGGCGCGGAGGAGGAGTACTTTTTTTATTTGAATGAAAATATTTTATTTAAAATTAGAAGCAATTAGGGTTGCCAGACGACTGGCTTTTACGGAGAAGAATGCAGCACCAAACCTGTAAAAATAAGTTTTTTGCCATGTTCTCCTTTGTAAAAGCCGGACGTCTGGCAACCCTAGAAGCGATACGAGTGTTTCTGAGTTTTTCATACTATATTTTTCTATACAATGTTCTTATATCCGAAGATATTGTTAACATAGCATAGGAACAGCCACAAATAGTCATTAGGACTAATCCAAAGTAGGGTCCAATATTGACCAACATTTTTGCGTACAGAAGTACTACTCAAGCGCTGAGTTGGCGGTGGCGGGATTTGAACTCGTATCGTTTGAGAGTCCGGATTTTAACTTTTCCTTTGACGCTCTAACCAACTGAGCTATCCCGCCAGGATCAGCTGTTAATCAGCTGTTGCTATAGGCCACTAAATATTTGAAATACAATCTAATAGAAAAAACTTGTGACTTCAACTTGGATTGTTTTGAATATAGCGAAAACCAAAACATAAAATCATTTTATAACAATTTATTTGAAATGGGAACCATACCAATAATAGATAGACCGTCTAGAATTACCAACCATTCATTGATTTTGATACAGCTTTTAGATCGTTAAAAAGAAATAAATCAGTAGTACATAAAAAATGAAAATATTGTGATAGACTCTTATGAAGTCATGAAAGATATACTTTACAAAATCTTTAAATCATCCATTGAACAAGGTTCTTTCCTAGACTCTCTAAAAATAGCAAAAATAATTCCTATTTTTTAAACAGGAGACCCGACCAATATAACAAATTACAGAACTATTTCTGTTCTCCCAGTTTTTTCAAAAATATTAGAAATAATAATGTATAACAGAGTGTACACATACCTAATTACCAATAAACTCCTTTATGAAAATCAGTTCGGTTTTAAAAAAAAAAATTCAACCGAACATGCTGTTCTTCAATTAACACGTTGTATTAAAGAATCTTATAAAAATCAAAAATTAATTTTTGGTGTTTTCATTGACCTGTCAAAAACTTTTGACACGGTCGATCATAATATTTTGCTTAAAAAACTTGAATTTTATGGCATAACAGGTAAGTTGGTTCTAAGTTGGTTCAAAAGTCTCTTTAACCGAAAGCAATTTGTTTTTAATAAAGATTCCCAACCTTAAACATTAATTAACATAACATATTGTGTCCCATAAGGATCCATACGTGGACCACTTCTTTTCATTATATATATAAATGATCTTAACAAAGTATCTAATTTAAAGACTCTAATTTTCGCTAACCTTTTTTTCAACAAAAAATATTCTTAATTTTTTTTGATTTTTTAAAAAAAATAAATTTCTGTTGCTATACTACATAATGATTTGTTATGTTGTTTTTTTTTGAGTTTCACTTCTGAAGTAGGGGAAAGATGGCGTAGCGCTTATATTGGCATACTGGTCATATTTCCATAAATATTGGTTTTAGTGAAAAACGGATTAGAGTTATATTTTTATATTTTATTATATGAAAATTTGTAACTTTTGCACAAATATTAATTTCATAATTAACAGAAATTATTTTTGGGATATGATGAAGTAATTTTAATCATTTTATATATTTAAAACTATGATTTTATTATTAAACGTAAAAAAAAAGAAATTGTTTTGCATTTCATCTACATCTTTTGTGCATTAATTAGAACATTTACTTTAATTGTTTCTTTTGAACAAGGCAGGCACAGCTAGTTTAAGTGAAAATCTTTTTCCTATGATAGCATATTTACGAGTTGCGCATCTTTGCATAGGTATGCTATCATTGGACCTAATGTTTAAATTACACCGCGCCTTATATCACAAATACAAAAACGTATTATTTGCTCTTTGAACTTTGAAAAAATTGTTGATTTTCAAAAATGATAAACTATAATTAGTTAAATTTGTAATATTTTTATATCATTATATTAATAATGTATATTATATTTTAACTTACGTTTCACTTTGAGAATGTTTTTATGGAATTGCCCATATATATATATATATATATATATATATATATATATATATATATATATATATATATATATATATATATACATATATATATATTTTCAAGTTGATTAAGGTGCTCCAAGAAGTCCTTATGGTCTTATCACAGAGCACCGCGGAAGAGCATTTAATAGGAAGTTCACGCCTCCTTCCCAATCGATGTCGCAAAGCTTGTCCAGAGGTGGGGTTTGAACCACGGATCTTATGTTTCTGAGGCAAGTGCGCTACCACTGCGCCAAGGCTGCTCTCTCTCTCTCTCTCTCTCTCTCTCTCTCTCTCTCTCTCTCTCTCTCTCTCTATATATATATATATATATATATATATATATATATATATATATATATATATATATATATATATATATATATATATATATATATATATATATATATATATATATATATATATATATATACATATATATATTTATTAGGCAGTAAAGCATTTTGCCAGGAAAAAGGGTGGATGACTAGTGAGATTTTATTAAAATGGCTTGAACATTTTGTGCACCACTCTAGTGCGTCGAAAAATAACAAAAACCTACTTTTACTAGATGGCCACGTTACTCATAAAAGCTTGGCAGTTTTGGAATATGAAAAAGAAAATGGTATTGCAATGTTTTGATGTTAGATTTTTTGGTCCATTACAGACATATTATGATCAAGAAATTCAGACATGGCTATTGCAACATCCTGGTAGAATTGTAACACATTTCCAGGTTCCTGGACCTTTAAACAATGCATATTTAAAAAGTGCAACTTTAGCAAACTTTGTGCATGCTTTTGCCAAAACTAGTATATAAAACTAATATATAGTATATTCTTTCAATCCCAATATTTTTGAAGAGTGGATGTTTGCACCTTCATTAACAACAGAACAAGTTGAGATATTTAAAAGCAATGAAAAACACAAGAACTTCAGAAAGTATCACATTTTGAAATAAGCTCTTCCACATTAGATTTAAAGCAAGAATTTGAGGAATCAACTCATTTTGAAATAAGCTCACCAACATTAGATTTAACACAAGAACTTGAGAAATCAACATATTTTAAAATAAGTTCTTCCACATTAGGAAAAACGCAAGAACTTGAGAGTTCAGCACATACAGAAGTAAGCTCTCCTGGATCAGATAAAATACAAGAACCTGAGATAAAATACAAGAACCTCACATCACATCTCATCATCAACACATTTAGATATAAGCTCTTCTGCATCAGATGTGTCTGGCAGTGTTAAAACTTCTGTGTCAAGATAAGAAATGAAATATGGTATACAAAAGTTATCTCCCTTGCCTTTAGCAACTCCTAAAAATGAACTTAATCGCACAAGAAAACGTGGGAAAACTGGGCATCTGAATTCTACTCCAAACATTCAAAAATTAAAAGATAAAGCAATAGAAAATGATAATAAAGAAAAAGAAAAACGAGCGAGTATAGTTGAAAAAGAAAAAACTGTTAGAAAAAGTAAAAAAAAAATGTTACTTGAAAAAAAAGGCTGCACTGATGCAAATAATACAAGACTCAATAAAATTGATTTTGTATCTGATACAGCTTGTTTGTTTTATAAAGAACTTTATTCACAGTCTTATTTTAAAGAACTTTGGATTTGCTTCCAAAAATGTAACTCTTGGTGTCATTGTTTATGCAAAGGCGTAGATAAAAAACGAAGAAAATTTATATATGTGAACTTTGTTTATAAATTTTTGAAGAATATACTTGTACTATTATCGGTAAAAAATACGCTGTGTTTGAGTAATTTATTAAAAGTATGCCATCATAGGAACAGTTGGTTGCCTATGATGGCATATTCGTACTTTTTTAAAAATTGAAATAACTTTCAAAAAAGTAAAACTGATAAAAATTTTGAGGGTTATTATTGTTCTACACGTTACTAGGAACGTACCTATATCAACATTTTAATTTTTGGTCTTCAGGATACTTTATAATAAATCTTCAAAGTTAAGTATACCATTATAGGCACCTTTCCCCTATGTAGAGTTTAAATTTATGATATATTTAGTGATTATATATTCTCGGTATATATTTATTATATATAGTTTATAGATGTTTTTATTGTAAAAGAATTATTTTATTGTAAATAGAATTTTGTTAAGGGCTTCGTGATAAGGTCATTACAATCTTCTTGAAGTCCTGCCCGTATAATATTATAAATCTTTATGTAAATAATATTATACGGCAAATAAAATAAAATAAGAAAAATAATGAAAAGTGAAACAAAAATACATATTTTATTAAACAGCAAATATATGCTACTATCAAAAAAATAATAACTTAAAGCTTTCTTTAAGATTGAAAATATTTAAAAAAAAAAAACAACGAAAAAATGAATGAGATTCAATAGAAAAAATGAATGAGATTCACGACAATTGTCAGTGCGAATAAAAAAATAAGTTATGTGTTTTGTGGTAAAAATACGGACAAACCTCCTTGCAAGATTTAGAAGGGTTGGTTGCATTGTATGCAAATATAAATATGTGTCTTACCTCGAGTCAGAAATAAAAAAACATTCTGATAAAAAATTTTTTAAATCATTTCATTTAATGACCAAATTATTAGCTATTTAGGAAAAACTCAAACTTAGTATGTTTTTTACAGAAAAAACTTTGAAATACGTAGTGAAAAATATATTTAAACAAACCAAATATATCCTTTTTCATCTTACACTATACCTTGATCACAGTCAATTTTGCCAAATGAAAGTGTTAGTACGGAGAAATTCGTAGCGGGCATTTCTTTTTACCATGTAAGCTCTAAAAGCGTTCACATCATTTTTTTCCACAGCTGCAAGACCTTCAATGAATTCCATATTTATCCACATGGACACCCATGTTCAGTAAAATAAAAAAGATTCTTAATAAAAAATAAAAAATGAATCTTCATTTTCTAGATCCTATATTGTTGGCCTTATAGGCTGACTTTTTTAGTCTATTTATTTTTTCCTGAATGTTTTTTATCACAGTTAAAGAAATACCATCCTAAGAGACCTGATGGTTGCGTCAAAAGCAACGAAAAGATATTCGTTCTTCGCTAGGTTTAAAAAAAACTGATTATTCAAGTTTTAGAAGAAGTAAATAGAGTGCATCCTCATCAATTTTATTTTTTTTCAACAACTATTTTGCGATAAAGCCGGCTTACCTGAACATCATCGTTTAGCTTAGCATTTGATTCTTTTTCAGACTGGAGTCGAGCATTAGTTTTAATTAATAATTAATAGTCTCATTTTTTTATTCCAGTCAACTGTTTGTTTTTACAATTTTTAAAACAACTTTGTCTTGTCTTTTTTGATCTTCAACCGTTTTGTATTTATTTCCTAAAAGATTCTGGGCTAGTATCCTAGATTCCGCAAAAGCGACGGTATTGACTAAAGCGCCAAAGATAATCATCCCAACGCCTACCATCTTATTTTGTTAACTGTATTTATTTAGTTTGTTTTTAATAGTTTTTTTATTTTTTTATGTTTAATTTTAAAACCCTAGAAATCTTTACGGTCTTGTGAAACAGCAACGCGGAAGAGCATTTGAAAGAAAGGTTACACCACCGTCCTTACCAATCTTATAAAGCTTGCACTTCTTTCTCTTGAGAGGAGGCCAGCAGCCATTATTTTTATTTTTTGCCTAACTATTGAAAAAAATCAAACATACCTTAACAGTGAAACTACCCATGATTAGCGGTTTCATGTTGTGTCAACATTTTGAATTGATCGGGGTAATTTGCAATGTATTGTTTAGCTCATAACTAAGGGGATTGAAGGATGGTATTTACATCACTGAATCAGACCTTGATAGCAACCAATCACTTTTAGCAAAATTAACAATTAGTGGTCGTCATAAAACATAGCCATTGGAACGTTATAATGTTGTCTCAATGAGACCAGTTAAGTGTTATCGCTATCTTTCTGTTGAAAGATCAGTCATTGTTTTAACTTATTGTGGCAGAAAATGGACAGCTCTTTATGAATGAACAAATTAACTCAATTCAAAATTATTTTTAATCTAGGGAACATACTGCTGCTTTGATACATGTCACTAATCACTGATGTGGCGGGATAGCTCAGATGGTAAGAGTGTTGAAGGAAAAGTTAAAACCCGGACTGTTGAACGATACGAGTTCAAATCCCGCCACCGCCAACTCAGCGCTTGAGTAGTACTTCGGTACGCAAAAATATTGGTCAATAACGGACGCTACTTTGGATTAGTCTTAATGACTATTTGTTGCTGTTCCTATGCTAAGCCAACAATATCTTCGGATATAAGAACATTGTATAGAAAAATATAGCATGAAAACTCAAATAAATAAAAAAAAATAATAATAATCACGCTCAAGAAAGAGTTGAGCTGCTATGATTTTATCTTATATAAATTGCTTTTGCTAGTTGTTATTATTATTACAAGTTTCGTGTTATTTATTTGAAGGAAAAAGATACTAAACTATATAAGAAACAACGAAGATGATTTCGAGGATTTAATGGGTGAGGCTGAAGTGGAGGACTTATCTCGTGAAGAGTTTAGACCAGGCTTTACCAATCACGTCTAGCTGCTGTCGTGTCAGAAGAAAACAACGCAGGATTTGGACGCCGGTTGATGCATTAAGAGTCATTAGAAATGATACCTGAACAAATAACTTGTCTTTATTCACAATATACAGAGAGAATAGGGCGCGGGATGAGTTACTCAATTTCAAAAATGGCTCCAAAGACGTATGTTTGGTTTACTAAATAGGTCTTCCCAGTTGGTGTTCATGACGCTCTTAAGAATGATCTTGAAAATGATCTTGAAAATAAAGTCTTTCAACTAGCTTATTTATCTTAGCAGAGAAAGTCTACCACCGTTTTAGATTAGAACATGTTTCTGCAATTCTGAGCAAATGTATAGCAATCTTTTTATTATTATTATTATTACTACATGTATTTCGCTTTTTTTTATTTCGACAATAATTAAAATAACTAAATAAATAAATAAAAATTTATATGACAGGTGCAAAAATAAGACTATAGTTGTCTTATCACTAAGCCACCATACGTAGCATGGCTTTTAAAAACCGTGAAAGAGAATACACAATTTTTTAAATACTAATCAAATTTTTAAAAAAATTATATTTTAAATAAAGAAAGAAAGAAAAAAAAAATTTTTTAATTTTTAATTTTATTTTATCACCCTATTTCTTATTTTTTGTTTCTTTTGTTAGATTGAGAATAATTAAGAAAAAAAATTTTAAAAAAGTAAATAAATAAAACAAAGAAAAAAAAACATATAGATAACAAAAACAAAAAGATTTACTTGTAATATTTTGTTGCATTTTTTTTTTCAGTTAACTTATGCATATGCATGCATTAAATATGTTAAGTCAAGGTGTGATGAAGTCAAATTTTAATGTTTCAGGTGCATTATAGCTTTTATTTTTTGAAGACTTGTAGGATTCAACAAGATTTAAATTTATTGATTTCATTCCGCAAAAGCGATCTCATAGATTAAGAGAACTCAATAATATTAACAACTTACGTGATAAAACTTGCGTTTTATATTTTATATGGTAATTGAAACAACATGAGATTTCAAAAAACTTTAAAAACAAAACATCCTATTTTACCATGGAAAACCCATGGAAAGACCATGGAATCTCAATTGGTATTAGGAACACCTTTCTATGGAAAACTCATGGTTATCCTTGGAAAACCCATGGTTTTTTTTATGAAAAACTAGGGGTTCACGAGTATCTACTTTTGAACGATGCTGATGCCGATTGGTACAGGTCGATGGCCAATGCATCAGCATTGGCCATAAATTCAAATTTGTACTCTTTTCATTTTTACTAATAGGTAAATTAGGATTCTTTCAAATATAATGTTAACTGTCAATTTTAATGCTTGTTTATTTGCTAAAATTTGCTTAATACTTAGTTGCTTTGTTCATTGTTGATTTGATTA